AAAAAAAAAAAAAAAGTTAACAGATGTTACCTCTTTGCTACTTCCTCTTTGCTCTTCTGATCTCTCTACTCGAAAAAAACGTACTCGCCTGCAAGGAAATCGAGCGCCAATCCCTATTATCTTTTGCAAACTCCCCTCATCTCAACTGGTCTTTATCAACTGATTGCTGCCAATGGGAAGGCATTTCTTGCACGTTAAACCATCGCAAAAATCCTCGAGTCACCGGCCTATCGCTGCCCGGAAAATCCCTCTCCGGCAAACTCGATCTTCCCTTTCTAGCAAACCTTTCCTATCTCTCTCGCCTCAATCTCTCCCACAATCTTCTCACCGGCCCTCTCCAATTCTCGGTTTTTCACTCCTTATCCCGTCTGCAAAATCTGGACTTGAGTTTCAACCGATTTTCCGGTTCGCTCCAAACCCCACCACAATCTTCGCTCCTTTCCATCCGGTTTTTGGATTTATCGAGCAATCGGCTAAACGGGTCCTTAGATCCTGCGTTTTTCCGGCATTTGCCGAATTTGGTAACTTTCAATGTCAGTAACAATACCTTTACAGGTCAGATACCTTTTTCGTTTATTTGCTCGGGCTCCCCTTCTTTACAGGTCTTGGATCTTTCAAATAACCAATTTAATGGGTCTGTTTTGCCTGGGCTTGGTGAATGTTCGAAGCTGATAATTTTCAAGGCTGCTTTTAACTCTTTATCGGGGTTTCTGCCGTACGATCTTTACGAGGTGAAAACGCTTCAACAAATCTCTCTGTCTAACAATCTGTTTTCTGGGCCAATCAATGACTCCATTGTTCACCTTCCCAATCTCACCAGTTTAGAGCTCCAAGTGAACGAGTTAACTGGAGAAATTCCTCTTGCTATTGGGTTGCTTTCCAATTTAGAGCAACTTCAGCTTCACACAAATAGCTTGGAAGGTCCCCTGCCTCAGTCTCTAACAAACTGCTCCAGCCTGAAAACTCTGCTCTTACGCAACAATAACTTTTCAGGAGAAATTTCGAAACTCGATTTCTCTACGCTACAAAATCTCCAAGCCATCGATCTCGGGAATAACAGCTTCATTGGGGGAATTCCGAGTAGCTTTTGCCTTTGCAGGTCGATAACAGCCCTTCGACTGGCATATAACAAGCTTTCGGGAGAAATCCCGCCGTGCATGGCTTCGTTAACATCCTTAACTCATTTCTCGGTTTCGGACAATTATCTGTCGAACGTTGCCGGAGCATTGAAGATTCTGAGGCACTGTGATGAGCTGGCAGTCTTGTTCATGTCGAGATGTTTTAGAGATGAAACAATGCCCGATGATGATGATTATGACGATTTCTCGTTTCAAAATCTGCAGATTTTGACTCTTGGAGGATGCCAGCTCAAGGGAAGAATACCGTATTGGATTTCGAAGCTGAGAAGGCTCAAAATGCTTAATCTTTCTTATAACAAGATCTCGGGTTCGATCCCAACATGGCTAGGATCAATGCCGAGTTTATTTGTTCTGAACTTGACTCAAAATGAGCTTTCGGGTCAGCTCCCGAGAGAAATAACTCATCTCTCGGCTTTGATCTCGGATAACACGAGCTCCGATTTGAGTTATTTGGCACTGCCTTTTTTATTCGATGCCCACCAATATAACCGTCTGTTTAATCTGCCGAGGTCTTTGAAGGTGAACAGTAATAATCTGAGTGGGAATATTCCGGAAGAAATAGGAAGGCTTAGGCTTGTTCGCGTGTTGGAACTCGCTGATAATAATTTCAACGGCGGCATACCCGGCCAGCTGTCGAATCTCGTGAATTTGGAGATGTTGGATATGTCGGGAAATAATCTGACGGGCGAGATTCCACAGTCGTTGACTGGTCTTAGTTTTCTTTCTTTGTTTAGCGTTGCAAATAATGATCTTGAAGGGGAAATTCCGAGAGGGGGACAGTTTGATACATTTCCGGCGGCTTCTTTTGAGGGGAATCCAAAGCTTTGTGGGTTTGTGATTCGGAAGAGGTGTGATGATGGTGGTGTTTTGCAGGCAGGGGTTGATGAAGAAGAAGATGATGGGAGTATGTGGTACATAGATAATCTCCCTTTTGGGTTGGGATATTTGGTGGGACTTTTTGCTGTTATGGTTGCTATGTTTTGGAGAAGTGTAAGAGGATAGTTTGTCACAATAATTAACTACAAAGAAGCATATGTAAATAGTTGCTATGGTTTTTGCTTTCTTGGTTTTCATGCATGCTCTATTGCAAAAGGAGAAAATTGAAAACCGGATGCTAAAGAATAGGATGTGATTGCATTGTATTTCTCCAGTGTTGGAAAATAAGAGCATTGGCAGCCAACCAAGTTTTTATTAGATCACACAGAAATATTTAACAAAAGAAATGTGGAGAAGCAATTCATGCCAGTAATCAAGTCTTGATGTGTACTAATTCACAAAGAACAAAAATGAAAATGAAATTGATCACAATAGAGAAAGATCAAACCAAAAACGTTCACGACAAAGAACTATAGGAATAAGATCTCGAATTTGTAGGTAGTAGCGGCAACACCATTACAGTTTATTAGCCTCTCATCTCTCGGTACAATTTGTTCCGCCATAAGTACATGGCCACATGAAAGTTGCCAAAATAGATGACTTCAACTAATATAATTCTAATGAGATAGCCCCATCACTACAGATATTTACAGGTAATCTCCATGATGAGTGGAAGCAATCCCAGATGTTCTTCAACTCCTCATGGCTCTCTAGAGATGGTGCTCGACTTCTGATTAAATCTACCATCAGATAGAAAAATCGTTAAAAGTGCTAGTTACCTTAGCACAAAAAATCTTCATCACAAGAATCTTAATTGAAATGCTCCATATTTAAAGAAAAAAATAACTGAAACAGCAGCTTTCTTCTAAGGTCTACCTTCATCCAAATTATCAAACACGACAAATTATACTCGTTACATATAAATTTTAGTTGACTAGTGACCTGTAGAAACTTCCCGTCTCCGCTATCCACCTAAGTAAGTTTGACTTGTGTTGTACATTCTTCCACTAGTGAAACCAATTCATAAATGTTCTGCTAATGTATTCTTTACTGTTGAACCATTATATTCCTACAAGTAGGGTATGTCCCAATTAAATGGTATTTATATCCAAACCCACAGCCAGTGTGACACAAAAGCCCACACAGCATATGCACATTCATTAATCTATTAGCGGGAGCAATTAGCACAAATATTAACAAGAAACTAGAATGCAATAACTCAATGCAGCAATCAAGACCACCATTTTTCCATACCACTGCTGAACTTTCCGAAACTCAGTGAGCACTGGGTATATATTTTCAAAGGCAGTATATGTCTCTTCCCTGACCTGAAAATGTTTATAGCTAACATTTGAGGACACGTCCACGAAATAGCATAACAAGATGAAATGACTGTAAATAAAAATTATAGCCATTTCAACTACCTTTGCACCAGTGAGAACAATCTTTCCAGAGACAAAAATTAGCAGCACTATCTTTGGCTGTTTCATCCGGTATATTAATCCAGGGAAGAGTTCCGGTTCATACTGTCTCAACAAGATTTTAAATAAATACTATAAAGAAGATACAAAATTTCCATCTTTGCTTATGTAAGAAAATAACTAATGATCAATTATGTGGACTGATTCTACAACCACAAACTGATTAGAGAAGACATATCTTTATGCAAAAGAAAAAAAAAAAACAAGAAAGTCAAATCTGTAGTAATGTCGACCAAATAAGACAAGCTGCAATAAGGTTAGAATATATACATGCTTCAGCATGTATTTTGAAATCATTAACACCTTAAATGAGGTGGGTGAGGTTGGGTCATCTCACCCAAAAAAATGTTCAAAAGATTGTGAAAATGTTCTAAAGGTGGAAGAGATTTTTCCCACAGTACACCAAAGCCAGGTAGCCAACATCTTTATCACAATCAACATGCAACTCCTGATATCTTCAGGCATTAGTTTGAAGAACCTCTGATGCACATATACAAAGAGTTTTATCACATTACACTTCTTGAAAGTCTGATAGACTACACTAGCATCGCCCACATGAATGGCACATGAAGGATATTTCATTTACTAAGATCTGAGCAAGGGTAGATAAGAAGAGAGGCTTTGGTAATTTCCAAAAGAGGACGTATGCGCAGAGAGGACTACTCTCAAGGAAAAGACGTGAAAGAATTATTTAGGTAGAGGTAGGCCCAGCTGTACAATTTCGAAAGTTAACTACATCACTACAACAACAACAACAACAACAACAACAATATAGCCTTTTAGTCCCAAGCAAGTTGGGGTAGGCTAGAGATGAAACCCAAGAGAACCAATGGTAAGAGAAACACAAAAAGGGCTCAAAACAAAAGGAAGAGATTGGAGCAAAAGAGAAATGAGCAAAAGTCACGGTTCTTGCATGGGCAGATTTCGAGGATTGACAATTAACAAAAAGATAAGTTAGTGCTCGAACGTTGAAACTAATGCAACTCTCCAAAATCTATTACATTCTTTTTTTCCAGCGACAAAAAATTAGGATATATTGTGAAACAAGTAACTGAGCTTGATGATGATAATCCTATCCTTCGTGCATTATGTATGTATTTCTTATTCTGCTTCTTTTATGGGTGATCTCTGGTCGTTCCTCCGTTTCCTTGGCCCAATGATTAGCAGGACGTGGCATATTCTCATCATACTACAATTTTAATTTTTCCTTTTTGTTGTATCAGGACACTCCTTTCACCATACAAGGCTTTTCCCCTTCTGGATTACATTATTTTTTTTTATGGCCCTACTTTATTTTGACAGATTTGTGGCAGCTGTTTCTAATCGTGTGTTCCTTCATTCACTCCACAAGTGATGCAAATAGAAAATCAATAATCACAATTAACCACAAAATGTAGGTAAGGCTCTTTAGTGCTAGAACATGGAGTAAACATTATCAAATATCACTGGATTTCTATCATGCATAAACAAGATGAAGATAAATCACTCACACTTGAAAAAGCGCCATGAGCATAGGCAAGTCCTTCAAGTCGAATGGGGAATTTCACATCACAAGAACCAACAATGTTTTGAATCTTGAAATCCTGTAAAAAGTAAAAAGGTTGTGAAAATAAGCAGCCGAACGAGGCTGATATAGTGTCATCAAAGTAGTCAAGAGTACAAGCATAAGCACCTTAAACTTGGCTGGGAAACCAAGCTTTTGAATGATCCTAGCATACTGAAGAAAAAAAAGAAGATTAATTAAGAAATGAGGAAACAAAGATGTATTGAAGATAAAAACCATAGCATCATATGCAGAGTTACTCTATTGATGTTTAAAAACGGAACACATAAACATTTCAAAAAGAAAAGAAGAAGAGAAAAAAGCACTTGTAAATTTCTGTCTCTTTAAACTCACTCTGAAAAAGAATATTTAACTGAAAGCATGCCCTCTCATATGCTATACCTTTCTAGCAGCCAATCTCGACTGTTCTTCACTCTTGGCTCCAGTACAAACCTAAGGTGAGCAAATCAATAGTTAATAATCTACGGAAAAAGGCTTTTAGAAAATCCAGTTATATG